TTTCACGGTCCAGGTCCAGATCGTCAAAAAGGTTATAATTTATCTACACCACCGCACGATTTTTTTACCAACACCAATTGGTAAAAGTTAAGTTGTCGCCCTCCTTAGACACACGTAGACCCTAGCCTGGTGGTTACTTTTAGTTTATTAATTTTAGTTTCGGATAGTTTCTAGTGCGTTAATTAGTTAATTCGTTTGATTTCAGGTTTAGTTTAGTTGGATAACTCCATTGTTAGATGAATATTCTTAAATAACTACAATGCACCATAATAATTAAGCTAAACTTACTAGAATTAAACTGATACCATCGGTCCCGTAAAACAGAATTCTGGGGTAGGGGGTATCTAAGGTGGGTGATCAACTTGAATTTTATGCACTTCCTGTTCTTGTAAATCTGTATGTTTTGCTCTGTTCTCCAGCGGTCTTAAATATTGGTAGATGTCAAGGGCTTTTACGTCATGTTTATGCTTTAAAATCCCAACGTTCATTCTTTTTTGAGTAGCATTACATTACACTGGGACTTTAAGTTATGAACTATTCGTTTCTTATTTCTGACGAACCTTATTCTCCTCTTTTCTTCTTAGGCCACGCAATGAAGAAACCCATGACAACTATCACTTACCGGATCAGAGCGTGAATCACGAAAAACCTATGCCCCAAGCGGGTCGCCCTAATAGGTCCCGTCGTTCTTCAAGCACTTCGAGTTCCCGTTCATCTTCTTACGACAGTTGTCGTCGCCCGAGGGGTTCTGAAGTTAGAGCTAGCGACATCTATAGAAACCAACCCGCCCCAATATCCTTCGACAATCGGTCCTCCCTGTCTCCAACTGATATGGACTCATTGCCCAAGAAAAGTCGCTTTGAAAAGGTTTCAGGTACTTTCACTTCCTTGTTCGTTAAAATTACTTATTTTTGTCGAAGTGGCTGACTCACCGCCCACTGCACAGCCAACTCAGCGCTTCCAAGTAAACCTACCTGATCAACAGTGTACTTAGCAGATATTAAAATAAGGTTGGAGGATTAAAGTTAGGTACTTGAGGGCCAACCAGTATTCTTAATTGTAGAGTACAGCGAAGAAGTGCAAAATTCCGAAGTTTGCGAGATATCGGTAATCACTCACAAACCTGCATTAAGGCATGTGAACAACTTTGGTTAAATTTTTTACTTACTGATTTTTTGCTAAGAAAAGTAAAATTCTCTTCATAACACTTAAGTTCTTCAGACGTAAAAATAGCTATACATTAGAATAATAAATTTAAATCTCATCGTAAGTCGAATGAAAAACCTTACCACTTTCTTTATATCAAAAGAAATTTTCCTAGTCAAAATATTATAAACATACTGCCTTATTTAATTACACTTATTTAAAGAGTATCCTTTAGATTCCGGCAAACTTTCGACGATTTTCTGCCTCTTCAAGGTTTTTTGCATAAACCTAGATTTTGTTCTAGGTTCATATCAAAACCTCTAAAATAAGGTATCTATTAAAGTCATTTACCCAAAAATGAGTTTTTGCATATTAGTTCACGGGGGCCATATTTAGAAATTCCTCCAAACGCCACAACATACTGTCGATCATAAAGTACGCCCGCAACATAAGTCTGATACTGTTATGCCTAAGAGTAATAAAAAAACTATATAATAGGTTACCTCTTTACAAAGCACTCCAATTATACATTCAACTGCCAAATATCTGTGCATTTTATCTTTTTCCATGGTAATGAAAATGGAGAATTTTCTCAAGTTTTGTTACTTTACCCGAGGATAAATAATACAGTTTGGCTTGAAATTAAAGGACACTTTTCTCTTTATATTAGAGTTTTTAAGCATAGTTCATTACTTTCACGCTCCGTTCTATGCTTGCAAAGGCAAAAAAGAGGGGCCGAATTTATACTAAGATATTGCAAAAATGATTAATCTTCTATCTGTTCCGTTTCTTAATTACGCATGAACAGAAATTATAGTGCACAAAAAGTATAATTCTACATGCTTTACATTTAATCATATTTGATTTCATCTTCATTTTCGTGATAATATATGAGCAGTTTTGGTTACCGTCCCAAATAGTTGGTGCGGTTAAAAATGCGGTCAAACGCTTTTTATTGCATTTTAGCAAAAAACTTCACACTAAAATAAAAATAATTTTCAAAACTGATGTTGTTTCTTGTTTTTGAAAATAAATGTGATCCTTAAACTTGCATTTGATCAACTTTTGACTAAGTTTTCCGGTTCTGGAAGGGATGTATTTTAAACTTGTTTATTTCGGGCTTCTCCCATAGCACAGTACATACTGATAAATTTCTTCGATATCAGGCCACTTACGATTTTACCAAAATTAATGCTTATCACCCTCAACAAACTGAACTAAGGAGGCAGTTTTCCGTACTAAAAATGTTCACCCAGGATTAAATTCACTCATTTGATCAACATAACGTGACAAAATATGTGCTAAACTACTGAGCTCTATTTTTTGTCTTTTGCAGGACCTCCCAGCCATACTGTTTATTGATTGCCTGCTAATAAGGAAACCTCACTTTGGTTTTCAAATAGTGTACTCGGTTGGAGGGGGGTGGGGAAAGGCAAATCATAGTCAATAGAACTTTTTCCCTGATTAGACGGTAGCTTTAAGTTCACTATTATAGGAAATGGTGAACACGCGGTTTGCACATTAATCAACCCTACGCAAAAGACAAGTTGATGGGTAATGCAAATCAATTCTTTCTTTAGATAATGGCCGCTCTTTGCCGTACACCAATATGCCAGCCCAGAATAGCGAGAGCTCGGGGCTTCTCAGTGGACTAATCCAACTGAAGCGTAAACCGGCTGGAGGCCTACATGCCCGGCGCCGACACTCGCGATCTCATTCACAGTCGCCAGTTAGTTCGAGTTCAGATACAAGCTCTCCACGCGTCCCGAAAGAACCGCGTAAAAACATCTCTCGAGGAAAGTTTTCTCCGTCTCCACCCAACTTCAATGAAGAAAAACGTTTGGAGAGCAAAAGCCGCGTTCGTCAAACTTCTTCACCGTCCCATCTGTAAGTATTGTCCATTTTCTTCGGATAACTGGCAATAAGATGATGTACTCCTTCCAGTAGGCCAATGTTTCTCATGAATCTGCATCTGATACTCAACTATGGGGCCAAACCTAGGACCATATTCGCTGTATATTGCCTTTGGTAATCGTGCTAGCCATACTTTGATATCCTTGAAGCCCTCATTGATAAACGCCGAAAATTGTGTGACTGAAGTTTTAGTCTAGTGTAAAACAGCTTTTTAGTCATATCCAAAGCAGGTAGAACGTAGCAACTGCATATTTGTTCCTAAAGTGTAACGTACGTGGCAGACACTGAATAGGACTAACGGTCATTTCGGCTCCTCTGCCATCTTTGTAGAACATTTAGGAATTTATGCTTTGTCTGCTCGATTCCTTGTTTTTTGGCTATACTTTTAAATTATTTGGTGAGATGAGTTGTAAACATTGCTTTGTTTTCTGACGAGTTTGCTTTCCCCATTGTAGTCCCGCGGATGAACGTGAGGGCCATGTTTCTGGACATTCCGCCGATGGCAATCGTTGGCGTCCGGTTGATTATCCCGAGGACCATTCCACCGAGCGAAAATCTAACTTTGGCAGACCAGTTAATGGAATTGACTCTGCGGATGAAAATTCTGCAGATGGTCATCGTGATCGGTCACAAGAACCAAAATTACCTTCATCGGAGAAGCGACCGCGACGTTTGTCTCCGTCGCCGAAGACAACTGTGACCAATGCTGCTGATTCTGTCGGCACGAAAATAGTCGCGGAACCTGAGCGAAACCTTGGTAATGTTTGCACTTCTAGTTGGTTTTACTGGTATTTAAACCGTTCACATGTGAAATTTTTTGTATAAGCTTTCGTTCTTTTATAGAAATTTCAGATTTTTATATCTACCTTGTTTTTTGCTCGACTTTTGAATATCTTCTCGATTTATGCTTTCGGGAACTCGCACATTTCAAGAATATTCCCGTCTCGAATTCTTCTACCTAGTCTCAGCATCTCTAGGTTACTACTTACAGTAGATTTCCTAATTCACGAAACACAAGGACTTCCACGAAAAAATCCCAATTATACAAAGGCGGGCCAAGCTACGTACCCCAAAGCCTTACAACAGTAATCTGTTTCTGAGAACCTGGTTATCTGTTCTAGTTTGCATGGTGTCTGCTAGACCTCCTATTACGCTCGATGGAGGAGTTTCAGCGAAGATTTCTTCCTTCACGGGCTCCTGCTGTTTGCCTTTGCAATGTCCGTCAACTGATGACACACACTTATTGCATCGTCTGTTCTTTGTACAGAAGGCAGTTTAAGTTTACATTGCGGTCTCCTCTTCCCTTTTCTGTCAGCGATCAAACGTCCTGTTCCACCCATATCAAAGCCCGCGTCTGTCAACTTTTGGGAATATTGCCTGACCGGTTGAAGACTGTGCCTGTGCATACGTTTATGCTGTCCCCAGAATTATGGAGGTCCAAGTTTCATACATAGCTAAGAAAAGTATACGGTTTATGACGGATTTCCAGTGCCTTTGCCAACCGGGGTCTGTCCGGCAAGGCCACAGATCTCTTTCTCCAACAGGCTCTCCTAACGCTCCTAGTCTTTCAGCAGTTGGAAATCTTTCATATCTTCCTGCCCCCAGTGGGTTTTTATTTTTCATGTTTTAACCGGACAAGTTACTGAGAAGCTCAGTTTTATTTCAGCTTACTATTGCTGTCGTCGATGGGGACAGTTACACTAGCCTTACTAATGTTGCTCTGCTCAACGTCCATCACATTTAACTTGTGTATCGCTTAGTTAGCCTTTAATCCTTTTGACCTGATGGCGTACCTAGATATTGGTTCGAGTTCTTAGTTTGTCGCACCTGTGGACCGTACTGTTTTTTTCTAAGGACTAAATATTACAGTACTTGTCTTTTTTTGCCGTCTACTTAACAGTCAACTTTACCCGCCTCCAATTTCAGTTGACGTTCCAACTTCTGGACCCATAAAGACCATAAAAGATAAAAGAGTCCTCATCCAGGAACGGAAGGCTGCAATTGAAGAGGTATTGTTCGTTTGTTGCCCCTTCTGACCACTTTTTATAGGAGTACAAACGGGACTGTGAAACATTTGCTACTGTCGTTCGGACGCTTATAAGGTACGTTAGCAACCGGTAGTGTAGTTTTTAATCTTCCATGCCCATTTTACTTTCGCCAACACCCACCTAACCCTAATTTAACTCAATTTTAGCCTTTATGTATGAGTGTGTATTACCTCACCGCTGGGAAGTCCATTTTCATGTGGATTTGTATTTTTAATGCTCAGCCCGACTTGGCTCTGTTCCGCGGATTCCAGTTTACTCTTGTCCTTGTCGCAGTGG